ACTTGATGGTTTATAATATACACATCAGTGTTGTCAGACATGAACTACTCTCTTGATTGGACTTCTCGCTCTGGGTGAGATATGTGGCCTTTACTCCCAAATTGCCAATATAGAAAGATAACCTCAGAGGTTGAATTACAGATGAATTCTCAAATGAGTGAATGATTGAAGCCGAGGAAGCAGCACACCATACTTTCCCAATCATTTTATCCTAGACTGCATGGCCATACAACAGGGAGTATAGAAATTATGGTTATCTCTATATTGGACAAATGTAGATTCATCTTTATCTAGTACTCAAGAAGAAAGTGAAGCAGCTCTTTTTCACTGGGATTGACAACTCACAAATAACAACATGGAGATTTATTATTAGTTACGAAAGCCTGGCCTTAGTTTAGGCTTGTCTCAACTAGCTCTTATAACTTAAATCAACCCATTTATATCAATCTATGTTCCACCATGTGGTGTTACCTCTCTTCCATCTTGGGCCTCCTGTTTCCTCTCTGTGTCTGGCTGGTGATGCCACCTTTCTTCTTCCCAGAGTCCTCTCTAACTCCAGAAGTTCTATCTAACCTTTTCCTTCTTAATTGGCTTGCCTATGGTGTTTGGGACTGAGATGGGCAGCAGCTGGAGGTTGTTGTAGAGAGGCTGCAATGGGAAAGCCCCAGATTCTCGCGGAGGGCCTGGGAGGAGGGAGGGAAAGTCAGCTCTAGTGACCCCAGTAGCTGCAAAGCCAGCATTGAGAAGCTGCCTCGTGGTCTCATGCCCCACACTGGATTCCAGATGAAGCATCTGTCTAATTATTCTTTATCCATAAGAACTCAGGGGTCAGATATTGGAAGAAAAACCTGATTTATTAGAGAAGTGGTGGAGAAGCAACTAGTGACCTCTCTTTCATCCCTCGATCTAAAAGAGCCAAGAGTCCTTCTAAACTCCTCCCTACAATGTCCTGTGTCTCTCTATATGCCCTTGGTCCTCCCAAACCTCTATGGCTAATTTTGACCAGCTAGTAGCTAGCTCTGCCTTCTGATTCAAAGTAAACTTTATTGACAGTCTCATGAGTGTCGGAATGGGTACAAAATATCTCACAACAAAAAATCAGAATATAAATACACATTTTCCAGATAGCTTCAGGTAAAATTGTTTCACAAACTAAGTGTGAAGAGTTTAGTCAACTGTTTCAGAAGGAAAGTAAGTAACATGAAGTTATCACTCTTTATTGAGACTGCATGATACTCACACTTGGTGTAAGTATCCTTGCCCAAGCAGGCAAGATACTGAACTGAAATCAAGAGGATGGGCCCTGCCAGAGCAGACCCTTTTGAAGGATGCAGGATTGGGATGCTGGGGGAGTCCTTGGCAGTGTACAGATCTGAGGTCTAGACTGCAATCTTATTTCCCATGCCTCCTGAGGAGCTGGCAAGGCAAAAAAATGCAATAATCTGAAGCCCATTGATCACCTTCCAACCCTTCTTGGAACCCTTGTTGGAAAACCAGAGTGAGGGGAAGTGCGTTGGGATAGTCCCTACTTCTGGAGATCAATGCATACCTGGGCAATGTTCTGCATTTTTGGTACAACTTTTAATAAAAATAAATAAATAAATAAAAGGATAGGTAATGTTAATAATAGCTGCTCATTTTTAAAATGTTTTGGAGAACTAAAACTTTGGGGAAGCCAAGGCAAGGGATGTTGGGGACTGCCAGGGTGAAATGGCATCCTAATGAAGACTCCAAGGGCTTGGTATTTTCTCTCATATCTGTTTACTAAATGCCCAAGTATCTTGATAGTTGTTTTTAAGACCCTTGAATGCATTTGGCCCACTTGACATTAAACACAGGGAAAATGAGAAAGTCGTGACTTAAAAATCTTAAAAATAGTAAGAAGTGTTGGGAAAAGTCTTGTAATACAATTTTTATAAATTAGCACAAAGAGCTAAGGAGATGGTTCTGCCAGTAAGGTGTGTGGGTCTGAGTTCAAATACCCAGCACCACATTAACAGAAAAAAAGCTGGCATTTAAAAAAAAATGAAGACGGGTGTGGGGTTGCATACCTGTGATCCTTGCACTGGGTAAGTAGAGACAGGTGGATTCTTGGGGCTCACCGGCCAGTCTATCTGAATCGATGAGCTTGAGGTTCACTGAGATACCCTGTCTCAAAAACTAAGGAGGGAAGTGCTGGGGGAAGACACTTCACATTAGCCTCTAGCCTTTACATGTACATGTATGAACACATACATACAACACACAGGCATGTAGACACTCACATGCATACACCAAATTCTCCCAGGGTGGCATTTTCCCCTGGTAAGAATTGTCAGTTCTCCATTTGCCTCACCTAGTTAAACTTTGACCAGCGTGTCCTGAAAGCCTGGAGCCTTGTGGGGTCGGCTGGCTTGGTCTCTCTTAAGTAGATGAGAAGGAAGCTCACAGAAAGGGAGGGGCTGAGGCAGCAATCTTCCTGTCCTCCCAGGGTCTCGCAGCTCTCATTTTGTCAAATTAGCAGTATCGAGCATGATTTGACCTTTACAAAGAAAGACAGGCTTCCCTCTCTTTATGGGGTAGAGCCTGCCCTGGGTTCCCAGTTCTGAGTGCGCAGGTCTGTGCAGTTACTTCTCTCATCCCCAGCTTTAGGGCCTCCTCCTGTCTGTGTGTTCCCACCTGATGGGGAAAAGGAAAGCTCAGGGCTCCTACCATATGCCTCTAGCCTCTGTGCTTTGCCCAGGGTACTGTTACATAAGGCATTTCCTATTAACTATGCTTTTTTTGTTGTTGTTGTTGTTTTCGTGACAGAGTTTCTCTGTAGCTTTGGAGCCTGTCCTAGCTCTTGTAGAGTAGACTGACCTTGAACTCCACAGAGATCCGCCTGCCTCTGCCTCCCGAGTGCTGGGATTAAAGGCGTGCCCCACTACTGCCTGGCTATTAATTATGCATCTTAAAGCTCACTTTCATCTTTCAAACTCCATTCTTCCTTCCCCCAGCTTCACTTTCCCTCTGTAAATCCTGCATTCTTATTCTGTCATACAGGGCTTTTACTTCATTAGGAATGGTGTCTTACTCGCTGCTTGTGTCTAACATAGGCTTGGCCTAGACTTTGCTTAGGAAACGGTTCAGTGGAGTTAACCTCACAGCCAGGACTGAATTTAAAACTCGGATCTCACTGACTTTCACCCCAATGCTCTTACTCCCCCTTCCTCCGACCCTTGGCCCTTCAGTTTGCAGAGGCCATGCGAAGTCTTGGCCTGTTTGTTCATTGTTCATGCCTTCTCCCAGAGAGCCAACAATTCTTGGAAAAGGACACTGTATTCCTTGTTAATTGAACCGAGGCACAAAGCAGAAACTCACGCCTATTTGCTAATGATGCTTTGTTCATCTTGGGAAGAAATGGATGCTTCAAAAGTATAATCTTGTCTCCTCAGCTCTTTTCCTGGTGCCGCTTCCTTGCTGTTTTCTGCCTTTTCCTGTATTTTCTCTACATCTTTTATTTCTACAAGGCTCTATCTAACTCCAGCAAACAGGAAAAGGTCCAGGTAGCGGAGGTTTAATAAATGTCAGTGCATGTACCAGCTTGAAGAGACATAACGACATGTTAGATTCTTGGTGTGGGACACTAAAACTGGGATGGATGGACTATATGGGGAAACTGAGTGGAACTTGAGTGTAGAGGCGTTCACCTTGAGTTCCAGCTGAGAATACTGACTTCTGGAAACCCATAGCCTCACACTGGGAACTGAGGAGAGCAATACCAAGCAAGGGCATTGAAAACATTCCTGCCTTTTTTCTGGCTAGGGGAGACTTATGTTCCAAAGTGTAACTAAGCTAACATGGTCTCCTCATCTCTGGATCCTGGAGTGGGCTTCCCTTTGCTCCAATGCCCTGCTGTAAGTTATCCTAACCCTTTGCTACCCTCCATCCTCCCTAGTGCCCTGCTGAAGATGGTCCCTAACCCTTTGCTACCCTCCGTCCTCCCTAGTGCCCTGCTGAAGATGGTCCCTAACCCTTTGCTACCCTCCATCCTCCCTAGTGCCCTGCTGCAGATGGTCCCTAACCCTTTGCTACCCTCCGTCCTCCCTAGTGCCCTGCTGCAGATTGGCCCTGGCCCTTTGCTACCCTCTGGCCGCCCTAGTACCTTTTCACTTTGCTTCTCCAGCATCCACATACTTTGTCCTCCATTTTCTTTGACAATTTCTTTTGTAAAGTTTCATCTGCTCCCAGGACTTTGACATCACTACATATTGTCTTAAGCCCTTTCCCTAAGAAGCATGCTTAGGCACTCACTGGGCATTGTAATTGAATTTCTCTTAGAAATAGGATATGGAGTCTCAAACTGTTGACCCATTCCCTCCCCAGTGTCATTTTGATAAATGACATCAAAATATAGCCAGTCTTGAGGACCTCCTGGACTCTATTATAACCTCCTGCCACTGCCATTTAATAGTCACTAAATCCCATAAATTGATCAGTATCCAATAATCTAATGATCTAGACTGTGTTCTTCCATTCTCCAGCCTCCTTTGCTTCACCAGCAGTTATAGCCAGTGCTCAGAACCACTGTGTACTCTGCTTGTGGTGAATGCATCCGTTCTCCTCAAAGTGCTATTTCTTTGTCTAAAACAAGAGAGGTCTTGCACTATAGCCCTGAATCTTCTCCTGGTTCTGATCTAGGATTCTATAGAACATATATACATATATATGTCACACACACACACACACATACACACACAACACACACATCAGCTTACATAGACCACAGTTCCCAAAATGAAAAGCTGAGCTTTCTGCCCCCAGTTTTTAAAGATCTTCCTTCAGTAGTTCAAAAGAGTTTTGCTTGGATTCTAACAGCCCTCAGAACCAAACCTATAGAGAGGATGATTTCCCAGAAATTACTAAGAGACACAGGCTTCCTTCCTTCTTGCCCTTCTGCCTTCACTGCAGAGAAGAGAGCTAGCTGCCTGGAGGCGGGGCTGCCTGGAGGCGGGGCTCAACAGAGTTCCTGTTGTCCTCTTTACCACAGTTACTTGTTCTCTTGTTGCAGTGGCAGGAATGCAGCTGGAAAATCCTCAGATGCTTGTTCCCTCTGAAAATTAACTAGAGGACAAACAGTGAGTTCTGTCCCTGTCCCGTCCTCACCACTCTCTGTCCCAGCAGACAGGACAGTGAAGTTAATGGGTTTGTTCCTAAGGCTCCACTGCTTCCTAAAGTTTTCCTTTGTCCTTGATTTAAGAACCTCATTGAAGGGCACCAAGGAGAAGGGTGACATGGCGCACCTGCTATGAGCTGGTAGAGTGAACATGCCCCTGGTTAGCATTGCCCTCAGTGTGAGAAGTTGCTTCTCTTGACCGTACAATGGTCTAGAGAAAAGAAACAGCTAGGGGCAGCTCACCTTATCTACTGAAGTTGTTTCTTACTTCATGTGGTACTGAAGTGGGCAGTTCATCTTGGATACTTCTAGTCTTTTGTGTGTGTGGGTTCTTTCTTGTAACATCCTCATCCCATTGTCCTGAGCAGAGAGAGAGAGAGAGAGGGGCAATACTCGTGACAATGCTAGCTGATGTTTCTGGTAAGAAGCTGGCAAAGACTCTTCTAGAGATGTTAGGATATCACCATGCTTTCTAATACAGTTCAACCAAAATAGGAATTGGACGCTATCTCTACCCTCATCAGTCTGGCTCTGCCTTTTTATAGGTATGGAAAACGAGGCTTTCTGCAATTGGTAATGTATTTTGGCCTCCCAGTCCTGTGTACTTTCCATTACTGTCAGCTTCCTAATTGCATTCGGATTTCCCTATTCTCCAAAGCCAAGGAGCATCAACATGTAGCTCTAAGAATGCTGCTAAATCCTGAGTAAATAAAGTCAGCAAGGTAACCTGTGGGGTCTTTTCTTCCTAACCTCAGATGGAGTGCTTGCATTAAACTCTGGCTCTGGGTCACTCCCGTGTATTGTAGGGATAAAAGACATATGCCGCTACCCAAAGCCCCATGCTGACTCTTGAGAGGATGAGAGGTAAGATTTTGTTGCTGTCCTTGTGAGCTTATTCCTGTGCAGGACCAGAAAAGACATCACTAACTTTTGGTCAGTAGAGTTTGTGATGAGCCTGAGAAGTAGAGAGCCCTCAACTGGAGTGATTGTGTTGAAGGACCATGAAGGCCCCCATTTCCTCAGCTAGAAACTCATGGTGATTTTACATTAAATCATTGGAATTCCTTTAAGATGAAACTTTGGGAAATAGATACATTAGGTTTTGAAATGTTGTAAGTGCTTTCCATGCCTGGCTGAACTCCTGGGGCATGGCACCTCACTCACAGTCTTCGAATTGGGAAACTAGGTGGCCACTGAGCCAAACCATCCTGTAACTATTCTAGATGCAGAGTGTTTAGAATGAAAACTGCAATTGTCCCTTTGTCATAGATCTTAAGTCCTAAGATTGGCAATTAGATATAATGATAATAATGTTTATATACAAAACACAAATTGAGTAAGGCAGTAGAGAGTACCAGACAGGAGGATGTGTTTATGTGGAGCATGTTGTCAGGTTCTAAAATGAGTTTCCCAAGAATTTTTTAACCCTTCCTTTGAAAAGTAAATCCTAAACTCTGTCTGCTGGGAAGTGGTGGCTGTGTTTAGTGACTTCTACAGAAAAAAAGAATGGGAATGATACATAACCCTGGAAGCTAAGTGCTTAAAGTGCCGTCTTCTACTTCTTTTCCTTGGGTTGTTTGCCGTAGGTCAAGTTAGTGCTGTGTCAAGGATACACAAGCAGTGTATAAAGAGGCTCATGTGGCAATAATGGCAAATGCTTGCCAACTCTGTGGAATGGAGCCATCCAGGAAACAGACGCCCAGCTCCAGTCCAACTGCAAAATACCTGCAGCTCCTGCCAACGTCTTGAGCTTACCACAGTGGAATGAGGACCTGGATCAGGCCACCCAGGTAAACTGACTCCAGGTCCCTGAGCTGGAAAACAATTGAGACAATCCAATTTATATAGAGATATATCTATATCCAATGTAGATATAGACATAAATCTATATCTATGTTGATATATAGCTATAGGTATATACCTATATCTACCTACCTACCTCTCTCTCTCTCTTTTTCTGTCTCTCTCTTCTCCCTCCCTCCCTCCCTCTCTCCCTCCCCCTCTCTCTATACACACACACATACATATGGGTGTGTATGTGTGGGTGTGTGTGTATATATATATATGTATGTATGTATATATAGTTTAAACCCACAGATTTTGGGATAATTTGTTAAATAGCAACAAGTAGCAATAAATAACATATATTGTGTGGAGAAGGAGCTAGTTGACTGTTTTCAAATAGTTGTGATATAATAACTGGCAGAAGAAATGTGAGGGGAATAGATCTTGACTCACAATTTCAGACCTTATGTCCATCATGGCAGTGAAGACACTGAGAAACAACACCGTGTGGAAGGAGGATGTGTCAGAAGTCCTCGTGTGGTGGCAGACCAGGAAGCAGACAGAGCAGCCAACACTAAAAGTAAATCAACCTTCAGACCCAGCCCATGGTGGCCCCACCTCTACCAGCTAAGCCACTTACATTAGCAATTCCACCATCTTCAAAAGCAGTGACCACATGCTGGCGTGTGAGGTTCAAACCCATGAGCCTTCAGAGGACATTTCATGTTGGAAGGTAGTTTTGGAGGGTGGCTGTCAAACAAAAAAGTAAAAAGAGGGAAGAGTATTTGGGATGGAGAGAAGTGGCAAGACGCTGTGGATAAAACACGCTTGGTTTTTGAAGGACTCCCAAGACCTGCACACATGAATGAAAACATGCTTTCAAAGCTAGAACCGCCTCCTCGGGGAATTGCCTCATTGTTCTTTCTGATGGAGCATCTACTGTTTCAGTTCTTGGCCATTTCTTAGGGTTAGGATTCAACTCATGGGAAGACATGTTCTTTCCCAAAGAAATACAAAGGATACTGTTCATGGGTACATAAGTGAATTCTACCCTGTTGAAGCCATTCCAACGGTGTGAGGATTTCTTGGTATGGTCTCGATTTACATTTCCTTAATGGCTAAAAACACCAAGCATATTTGCATATGCTTAACTGACCATTTTTACATTTTTTTAACACAATGCACATTTGCATTCTTTGATGGTTCAACATGTTTCTCTTATTTTTGCATCTTAAGAATTCTTTATATATCCTGAGAAGAAACCCTTAAGGAAACAAATGGTTTAGAGTTATTTCCTACCATTATGAATTCATCTTCCCACTTTGTGGATGCTCTTGTTTGATAACCAAATTTCCAACTTTACCCACATATGCATTTATTCTTTTGTTGCTTATACTTTCAAAGAAAACATGAAAGGAAATAATCAAAGAACTCATTTGAAAAAAAAGAAAACAGAAAAGAGAAACAAGCAAAACTCATGAACATTTACTATGCTTTCTTCTGTGAGTTTTTGTGTGTTTACATTTAGATTTTTGATTTGTGTGTGTATGTGTGTGTTTTTGAAAAATGCATGTGTGTAATAAGGACTTCTGCAGTAGTAGGGCGGGGTGGAGGGCTGGAAGAGGGCAAGCAGACCTGAAACAGAAATGTTAGAAAGCCACAAGGAGTGAACACAGGCACACAGTAGCACAGAGGAACATGGGGACAGAGTGGAAGTAGCTCTGCAGGGCAGTTCTTGTAAAAAGGATGTTTCAGAACCTAAAATGGCCAAGAAAGCAAACTGGTGCAGTGAGTTCATTTGATTTTTTATCCTAACATGGGTCCTGCCTGTGTCTTTCCCCAAGGTAGATTTTAAAAAATCAGAGCAAAGGAATTGAAGAAAAGGGAGAAAAGGTTCATAGCTCCAGGTTGCCAAGTTCCAGAAATGGTAGTGGGAGGGTACTCTGTATAAACAAAAGTTTAGCAGGTAGGTGTCTTAGTTAATGTTCTATTGCCATAAAGAGACACCAAGACCATGGCAACCCTTATAAAGGAAAACATTTAAGTGGGGGCTGGCTTACAGTTCAGAACCTGAGTTTATTATCAGCAAGGCAGGAAGCATGGCAGCTTGTAGGCACACACCGTGCTGTAGAAGGAGCTGAGAGTTCTACATCTGGATTGGCCAAAAGCAGGAAGAGAAAGACATTGAGTCTGTCTTGAGCTTTTTGGAACCCCAAAGCCCAACCCCAGGTACACACTTTCTCCAACAAGGCCACAGCTACCACAAGACCACACCTTCTAATAGAATTGTTGGAGGAGACCACTTGTTGGTTCTTGGCTGCTCAGCCCCAAAATAATTACTCAGAAACTATATTATTTAAATCACTGCTTGGCCCATTAGCTCTAGCTTCTTATTGGCTAACTCTTACATCTTAATTTAACCCATCTCCATTAATCTGTGCATTACCATGAGGTTGTGGCCTACCAGCAAAGTTTCAGCATGTCTGTCCCTGGCAGCGGCTCCATGACTTCTCTCTGACTCCACCCTTCTTTCTCCCAGTAGTCAGTTTAGTTTTCCCCACCTAGCTCTGTTCCCCTATAGCTCTACGACAGGCCCAAAGCAGTTTCTTTATTAACCAATGATATTCACAGCATACAAAGGGGAATCCTACATCATAGTGCCATTCTCTGGTGACCAAGCATTCAAATCTATGAGCCTATTTCAAACCGCCACATTCAGGGAGATCAAAATATTTGCATGAAATTTTTATGAGGTGGTGGAGATCAAAGGTGGAGGAAATTTACCAAATGTCCTTTGCAAACAAGCTACCTTTGATAGGAGAAACCAAAAGGAATTATTTCTTACAGAAAGCTGATCAACAACAAAGTACAAATGAAAATGACACAATGTGACCCATTTGTCTATATGCTTGTTTAAAAAAGTAATAAAAAGAATATTCTTGTGTGTACCAACTGGCAAAGATTCAAATTCACCCTTTGTCTGTGGAGACTCAACTGTCTCTCCTCCAGAAAGGGTTTCATTCCCCATTGAGTTAGCTTTGCACCTCTGTTGAAGGGAATTGGTGATAAATGCATGGGTTTGTTTGTTGATTGCCAATTTTATTTCATTGAACTCTGCATCTGTCTGTATGTGAGCACTGTGCTGTTTTGTTACTAAACATTTATAGAGAATTCTGAAATTTGGGAGTGTCTGGGTTCTCAAAATTACTCTTATTTTTCAAAAGTACTTTTAATTTTGTCTGGGTCTGGGTCTTTTGTCTTTCTACCTGAATTTAAGTATTAACCGACACCATGATAGGTATATTTTTGTATGTATACATGGAACTAAGGAGCTTGACCATCTTAGCAATCTTAAGTCTTCTGATCTATGAACATCTATAAAAATCAGATTTCTTAGATCTTAAAACACTATGATGGCTTTATGTATGTCTCCCACTCCTTTTATTGTATGTTTTTCAATGTGTTTGATTAACTTTATTTTGGTCTTTTATTCTTAATAACATTGTAAGCAGCACCTATATCTTAATTTAACTTCCAAAAATTTCACAACCTTTTCTTCTTCTTGCCTATTGTCCTGGCTAGTTCTTCCATCTCAGTATTGACTAAAAGTTGCAAGAATGAACATTGTTGTTTTGATACTGACCTTACAGTAAAATATTTAGTTTTTAACATTAAGTATGATGTGAACTTATAGATTTTTTTCATAAATAGTTTCCCCAGGTTATGAAAGTTATTCCCATTTGTTTGCTACTATGTAATGGTGTTGAAGTTTTGTCAATTTTTTCCCATATACATATCGATGAGCATATTTTTTTAATCTTTTAATTTTTTATTCTTTTTTATTCTACAACATGGTATATTTAAATGAACCTTGCACTTCTAGGTTAGGTCCCATTTACATTCAGTGCCTACTCCTTTTTACACAGTTCAATTTGCCGGTGTCTGGTAGTATTCTGCTAAGTTTTGTTCTGATCTTTCTTTATAAAGATTGTTGGTCAGTTGTTTTTTTATAATGTCTTTGCATACGCTGTCCCAATTATTTAAGCCTCCTATAACAGATTGAGAAGTATTCATTGTGTTCTTATCCTTGCTTGAAAAAAAATCCTGAAGATTGACTTTAATTTTTTCTTTGAATGCTTGGTAAGTTTGAAACTGACTGACTTAGCCGTACTCTGGGTCACTCATTTAGTTTGTTTTCTGCATCTCAAGTAAGCATTTAGAATTTATCATCTTTCTGGAGCTGTACCATTCCATGTAAGTTGTTAATTGTTTTTTTATATGCATCTGTTCACAATATACCACTATAAATCTTTTTATTGTAATGTTAGTTTTGACATTTCTTCTTTTTATTCTTGTTTTTTTTTTTATTAATTTGGGTCTATTTTTGTGCTGGTGAGTCAGTTTGTCCTTTTTACTGACGGAGATATTTTTTGGAATCTTACAGGCTATTGGTCAGCTGTTGATCTATTAGTGAGTTCTTAGGATCATTTGTATCAGTCTTTGCATTCACACCCCAGGTCTTCATATTTTGCTTTGAGTCAGTCTTAACAGCTTAATGCATCTCTAGCTAATGAATAATCCAGTTTCTGTTTTATGAAGTTAGTTCTGAACTTTTGAAAATTATTCCTTAGGAAAGAAAAAAATAATGAAAATCAGAAATCAGTGAAGAGTTAGAGAGTAGTAGGAGATGGGACCGGAGAGGAGGAATAGATGAAGCCTAGGATCCATGCTAAGGAGATTGCTTTTGCTCGGAGATGAAGCAGTGGGCATCATGGCAGAAAAGTCATTTCCTTAACTGGAGCCTCAGTGACCTGTAATATCTCTGCTTTCTCACAGGATAACAGTGAGCAGGAAAATGAGGCCACGGACTAGAGGATCACAGGTCAGGCTGGAGGTCAACTTCAGCATCTAATGTTCTGGCCTAAATTATTGTCTTCCAGTTCTTATCTGATGGCAGATTTCCAGGGGAAGGAGATATAGAGACTCCTAGAAGACTAGGCCTTGTACCCCAAGAAAGGTTTATTTTGTCCCAAAGGATACTTGGAGATCCCATATTTATAAACATCATTAGCCGTCTAAGAGAGAGAGGATGAAGCTAGTGACAGCCGAAATCTCTGAAGATGGATCCATTTCTTTCTAAGTACCCATGGGGCTGAAGGCTGGGGGCTGATGATCTGATGGTGGAGGGGTAAGATTGAGGAATGGACTCAAGCCATAAGAGAGAGGTTATGGGCTGTGGAATGACAGAAGACTTCAGACAAGTTCAAAGTCTGAACTTGAAGAGGAAAACAAAGTTCAGCACACAAATGCCAATAGAAAAAGTTTAGGACATGAGTATGTTATGCTTGGGACTAAGAGAGGTAGAAGCCAAAGGAGGAATAACAATGATCCAGAGGAACTATGCCTGAAGAAAGTTGGTCTCACACAAATTAGCAAACACCTCTCTTCAGCTGCTTCCAACAACGTTCCCAGATGAGAAAACGGATCAAGTCAATATCTCCTTCACTCATTAGTATTTATCTTTATTTTATTCTGCTCATGGTTTAATCCAAGTATTAAGCCATTTATGACAATTTAAAAATATATTGTCATGCTCCAAATCCTCCCTGACAAACTTCTACCCATTGAATAAATTCAATTCTTGCTGTCTGGGGGTGGGTGGACTCCTACTTTCTGATTTGTTCATCAGTCATCTCCAGCCTGTTTCTGTGGGAGTTTAGCTGAAGTGCTGGGAAAGAAGGTAAATTCCACCCCACCTCTAAGGATGAGAAGAGCTGGGATTCCATGAGAAGAGTCCAGGAGTTGGCCTGACCACACAACCCTGGTTTCGCATGGCAGTGGGCAGTTACTCAGTGCTTTCGAGGCATTTGAGGGACTTGCATTTTCATCTGTAAGCCCAGGACAGGGGCCTGTACAGTATGTTCTTCAAAGAATTTCTTTCCTTCCTACATTTTCTTCTTACAGTAGAAGCTCGTGGGAGACACACTGTATAAACACAATGAGTAGAATTAAGATAAATTTATTCCTTTTCCTTAAAAAAATTTCCATGATGTATGAACACTTCTCCAGTCAGCAAGGTCAAGTGCCAACTCTTTACGGAAGATTCCTTTCCCCAGAGCTGAGGTTCAGGGCTGATGCTGGGGTCTGATAAGAATCTAAGCTTGATAGACAAAACATTTTTATGGACAAGGAAACCCTATAGGATGCTTCTTTCTCTCAAGAGGCTCTTTGCTCTTCTGTGGTATTGCCTGGGGTCTACATCATAGGTGGGGGAGCTTGTCTAATCTAATCTAGCCTGAACTATAGCTATTGGGGTGAGGAGCACATCCTTTTTAAAAATTTATTTCTTATTATAACCACTAAAACACACTAACTGTACAAATTAGTGTGATTCATTAGGGTAGTTATAGTCATTAATACATACTTCTTTAATAATGTCCACCCACCCAACTTGTTTCTCCTTTCTCCTCTCCAGTTCTCTAATAATTCCGTTCTACTTTCAGGTTATTTCCCCCTCCTTTTGCTTTGTTTCCTCGTAAGAGTGCAAACTTGTCTTTTTCTGTGTGGGAATACTTTCAGCCCAGGCTGCCATGCTCATCCCAGATGGACCCAAAACACTCGTTTCTTCCTCTGCAACGAAGAGCGAGCAAACGTTTACGTAGCATGGTTTGACGTCATAGATTAATATCAGTACACGTGGACTCCAGTCCTAGCTCTGTTACTCAGTGAAGCTCAGAGATTGCAAATAAGTGTGTGTTCAGGTTCCCCAGGATAGCTCCACAACTGGAAATTGACAGAAACTGGATCACGCTCTTTAAGGTCCTTTGAATTCTAACATTCGGTTTCTGAGTATGACATACGGAGACCTCCCAATGCTCTTAAATATTTGCTTGCTTTGTCTAATTTCTCTTTCTTTGCCTTCTCTCCTGTAGTGAATTTAATAAGGCTTAGATTAGTGCATATAAAGAAACTAAGTTGTAGAATAAGAAAATAATACCTTGGGAATTTTATTCACAGTTGATGACATAATTTTAATTTTAAAATCAAGTAAGAATGACAGGATTCTTACAGGCTGGCATGGTGGCACATGCCTTTAATTTCAGCATTCAGGAAGCAGAGACTGGTAGGTCTATATAATTTCCAGGTAAGCCTGGTGTACAAAATGAGTTCTAGGGCAGCCAAGGCTACATAGTGAGCAAACAAAGAAGGGAAGACTGGATGCAGAATGTAGAGTTTCTGATATCTAAGAATGTCCAATTCCATGCGTACACTAGAACATGACCTTACATGAGAAGAAGACATCACTACCTGGAGGTGTGATGGGACCATGCTGGCATCATCTTTGGAGCTGTGTTCACAGTATACTCAGCAAAGAGTGGTACACGCTGAAACATAGCTGGATAGGAAGACAGGAGATGGATACATAGGTGTTTGAGGCGTCAGACTTTTCTGTTACTCTAAGGGGGTGAGCCAACATTTGGATAAACGTCCCCAAGTAATGAATGGAATTCTGAACCCATGCCATGCACCAACACACACACACACACACACACACACACACACACACACACACATGATGTGGGAGTCTTCTGTTTTGAGTTGATTTCATTGGTTAATAAAGAAACTGCCTTGGCCCTTGATAGGACAGAAAATTAGGAAGGTGGAGTAAAGAGAACAGAATGCTGGGAGGAAGTGAAACATATACCATGCCGCTCCTCTCCAGGGCAGACTTGATGGAGCAAGCCACTAGGTCAGACATGCTGAATCTTTCCTGGTAAGACTGGTGCTACACAGATTATTAGATATGGGTTAAAGCAAGATATGATAGTTAGCCAGAAGAGTCTAGATATAATGGACCAGGCAGCATTTAAAAGAATACAGTTTGTGTGTTGTTATTTCAGGGCATAAGCTAGCCAGGTGGCTGGGAGCCAGGTGGCAGGAATGCAGCCCGCAGCTCCTACGACACACAGACACACACACAAGCAAAAGGAGGAAGAAAAAGACAAAAGAGAAGAGAAATAGTCATGCGTAAACAGGCTAGCCTTCTGGCAACATGTCCAAAGCTTAGTCTTTGTTTCATGTAATTATTCCTGCCCTTTGGTATCTTGCCCATTAATTCTAAAATAATGCTAATCACTTTTGAATCCATCTGGAATATTAGTCCCATATTCGTTTAAAATACTTCTTTCCACTCACATACCACCCTTTCTTAAAGATGGATGTTTTAGAAACTTTTACACTTCCCTTAAACTTTTGGCTTTTATTTCCACACACACACAAAAAAAAAAAAAACCTCATCTCTCAAAAATGTTCAAATATTTGGCAGTGGTAGCACAGCAGGAGTCCAGCGATGGGCAAAGCAGGGAGGGATGACTCAAGTTTCTCAGAACTCTGGGCTCTCACCTAATCAGTCCAGGGAGACAGACAAAGAGGCCTAGCGTTCTGACCTCCCAACCATCTCATCTGCCATTATCTGCAGCTCTCCATTTACATCCTTCATTAAGAACAAGTCACATTGTCACGTCATAGAATTATCCAGTGTCCCTGGTTCCAGGTCTCAAGGTACTAAGCTTGGTACATATGAATCCTTCTTCAATTTAAGCTTATGAAATATGGGATAATAATTCCATTTTTGTTTTCTACCTTCCCCACTCACAGTTTGGGGCAAATATTGAGACCAGTAGTTTGAGTTGGTGGGGAGTGATGGAAACTGGAGATTACTGGGAGAAGTCCTAGGCCTTTTAAGACCATGTAAATTCTGTTGGGTGGTGGTAGTGCACGCCTTTAATCCCAGAGTTTGGGAAGCAGAGGCAGGAGGATCTCTGTGAATTGGAAGCTAGCCTTGTCTACAGAAGGAGCTTCTGAGTTCCAATCCACATTGAACGTTGCTTTGTGGTGGCCGTGGAAGCAGAGGGGGGGAGAGTCCAGAGGCTTTGCTGTAGAATATGAGTCTATGGTCCACATTGTGTATCAGAGAATAAGCTGGTATCTGAAGACACAGTCAGGAAACGGTGTTTCTGAGCAAGAACTATGAGTGTATTCATAGTCAAGGGATAACTGACCAGGGAGTCAGCACGTCAGAATGCCATTGTCCAATGAGGGCAGAGAGCTACAGGTTCTACCTTCATGGTGCAGCATTTTTAGTGGCCTTTTCTTTTGATGAATTCAATTATTTTGAGATTAAACTGTGTTTTAGATTATAATAGAAAAATAGTTATCCCTTTGAAAAGAATCTGGGTATCTTACAGCTTTGAGTTCCCTCTAACATCCATGTTTAACAGTGC